ATGACAAATCTCAGCACTGACACCAAGTCTTTCAAATCGTTCAAGCAAAATCTCATGATCAACTCGGTCAAAAGCAGATTTTAGGTCGGTTGATCCGAGTTGATCTAAAGAAATATAATTCCTGCAGGAGGTGAACAGCAGCATGTCGTTGATTATGATCTCAAATATTCTCGAGCAGGCGCACAGTGAAGTTATTCCACAATAGTTCTCAATGTTACGCTTATCGCCCTTTTTGTGAACTGGAAACATAATGGAAGTTTTCCAGTTGGAGGGAAATTTACGCTCTCGCAAGGAAATGTTGAACAGTTGAGTCAGAGGGTTAATCATAGCATCACAACATCTCTTCAAGATACATGACGGAATACCATCATGGCTAGGTGATGTGGAGTATTTCAATTTATCGATGGCAGATTTAAGCTGTTGGAGAAAAATCTGAAAATTTCCCAATGAACAGACGTTGCGTGGCGTGTCTCTGCAAGCATTTTCGACTTGAGCTGGAGATGACGTAGAACCATTGAAGGCACTCTTGAAGTGATTAGCGAATTGCTCGCATTTATCAGATAAGGTACTGGTGAAATGATTGCCCAAAACATTTCAACAGGTAATCCTTCCGCTTGGAGTTGACGAATTTCCAAAAATTCCTTGTGTTTCTCTTAAGATTGTCTTGCATACGTAGAGTGTAGCGTTTGTACAAGAAGCAATTGTATGTCCGATATCTGCTACTAGTTCGATTGAATACCTGCTTAGCGAGTGGACAACGAGATCTGCAGTATTTCCGAAGTGCTTCAAATGTCGCAGATGTGCATTTCCCCAAGCTGACTTCGGGCTAGGCCTACGCAAACGAACATGATCAGCAATGATGTTATGCATAATCTGAGTGAAGCGATCAACAGCATCGTCCACATCTCCGGAAGTGTCCAAATGTGCCTGGTGTGCCTGGTGTCCAAATCATAACCTGGATCTTCGGGAAAGTCCTCGAAATCGAAACCTCTAGAAACGTTGACTTCGACTGTTAACGCAGGGTCGTCACGGCAGGTGTCATCTTTGGACGGATATGAAGGTAGGTCAGACGTTGCGGCATCCGTTCGATGTGCTTCTAGCTCCTTAGCTGACGTCGTGAAAAACAGTTTTCATCTTCGGTGGACTCGATGGCAAGTTGAGATAATGGTGATGGACCATGCTGAAAGTTTGATGCACTATTCGAAAGTGTAGGATCCAATCCCACTTCGGCAGGACATATACTTGAAATAGATTTACCTGGACAATCTGATTCCGTTCTGCTGGTCACATCAACATATCCCTCTGGTTGCTAGCTGGTGTAGTCTATACGATGCTTAGCCTTTTCCAAACGTTTCTTGTGTAGCAGAAAGGTGCTGCTCCACGCAGAGTGTGCGTCGTCGAGTAGATCTTCATTTGGCTTACGATGTAGATTTTTCTAATTGCAGTTGACACAGAGTTCGGTTTGTGCTTTCCGGTGCAGTTAGGACAGCATAATTCATTACGGCAAGTAGATGATTTGTGGCCGAATGGCGAACATTTGTAGCAACGCATAGCATCAACGACTTCAAAAAACTTGCAGCGTTCCCAATCAACATTTTAGTATCGCGATTTCATCAGCAATTCAAAAGCTACAGCATTGGTTTCCTAAACAGCCACATACGAAGCAGCAGACGTGTTTTCGATCTTCTGTGGTCGAATAACATTCAATTCAGCCAGATCAGGTAGGCGGTTTTGTTATTTTAGCAGATCAACTAAATGGCTGCTGTCAGTATCGTCCGAAATGCCAACAATTTTTACTCTTGGTCTCAGTGGTTTCAGAGTGTTAACCTCGTACTTGATCGGGAACGTTTCACTAGCCACACGCACCATTTCGGTAGCAAGTGCATCAGATCCACATCTGATGACCACCTCACCGTTATCTCGACAGTGAATATCCCGAATAGCACAGGAAACAGGATTAAATTTATTGTGAACGTCTAGTTTGATGACGTCAGCTGACTGTTTTTGTTTGGGCCTAAAGACAACAGTTTGCTCAAATTTGGTTTTGACTGACCCTGCTCTGGGGTGACAGCTTTGTTTTCATCTTTCTTGGATGTGGGGTCTCCACCGCTCTTGAATGAATCATTCTCATTACGAATCTTTCCCGAACGCAATGATCCTGCTTTAGGTGCCATTGCACCAGGATCAGTACCCTTAGTGGCAGCCGAATCTGACTTGTTCTCTGTTGAATCCAGTGAAGTTGAGTCACCATCACCGTCCGTCGAATCAGAGGTACTGCAAGTGTTCTGTACAAATGTTCTTCGAATGATGTAAGCTGTTCTTTAAAGGACGCCATCAATTTTGATTCGACATCTCTGACGGTTGCATTAAAGCCGTCAACTTTCTCGAACATCTCGGAGCACTTTTTCGAGATGTCGTTCAGACCAATCTGTGTCTTCCTACACTCGAAGCAGAAGGATTTCAACGCTACGTTAGATTTCATTGCGCCAACAGCAGCAGTAGTCATATCACAACATTTCGAATGGTAAATTTGTTCGCAGCCACCAAAACAGTAGATGCGATCGCCTTCCGATGTGATACGATGTGTGCAGACATTGTACAGTACAGCAGTCATTGTGAACCAAAGCTGGCAGCTGCGATTATCTACCAGAAGCAATAATTAGTCCATGGTAAAAATAATTTGAAATTTAAATTTGTGTCGACTGGGACGTCACACACTACAATTTGTTAAATGTGTGTTTTGCTTTATTTCTATCTTTATTATTTATTTGCCTTTCTCAGCTTATTATTAATGTTTTGTGTAGAAGTTAATGGTGGGCACGCAATCTATTTTTTTTTTAAATCAGACTATGTCGTTGTTTTGGCGTTTGTGAACTCCCTGACATGGATAGTGAAAAGGAAAAACAATAACACTGTTACAAAAATTGTGGTCTAAAACTATCAGCAGTGAAAGCAAATTCAGTAAAAATCATTCACATTTGACTAAAAACCCTAATATTTAAACATCAGAATGTAAATATACGTGATTAATCGCTTATGGACCCTACAATTGAATTATGTCCTTTTGAAACAATAATGTTTCATGTTTTTCTCATCAAGGGTACAAAGATTCCTTAGGTTTTGCAGACTGAATCATGTACTTTCAGAGCTTGAGCTTGAGCTTGAGCTTGATTGACCGCCCACGGTTGCTACTCTGTTACTGCCAGATCAGCTGTAATTACACAGAGAACCAATAGACGATGCTTGGGACTAGCAATCATCCTCAATGTGTAAAAACTGGTGATCTTAAATTAGGCAATACCAGCGCCGGCCGCGCCCGAACACAGGTCAAGAAAGGAATGGGAAGGATTGTGTTGACATGACACTTGCTTTGATGGAAGCCGAGAACACCTCTGCACTTCCACGAGGAATCACTGCGATGTTGGATAAGAGATTGGGTTTGCAGCAGGGTTCGTTTTGGTAAACGATAAACTGAATTGATGTCCTAACGATCATATAACGCGAAGGAGCTTGGGACTAAACCCACGGTCTTCTGCTCAATAAGCAAAAACGTTTGCCACTAGGCAGACGAGCACCTTTTTAATCACCGAGTTGCTGTTATTACCATGTAGTCATATTAACAAATAAAACGATTGACGAATCTTGAATGTGGATGGGCCTGAGATTAGATTCATGATGTTCTGCTCAGTAAGCAAAAACGGTTGCTCTAAGGCCTCTAACTACGAAAAAGTACTTAGGCCTTCATTAAGTTCCACTTTCACGCGACGTTCAATGACAGGGTCCTATCCAGGATTACATCTGAAAAATCCAAATCTGGCCAACGCCCACCCTAAACCTAAACCTGTTCTAATTCACCTGAAATGACTAACGAATGGAAGACTTTGACTACCCATCCATGCAATAGTCTTATTCCGTGCCTTATGGCAACTTGATGATTCTATTGCGCTCATTTTTTGGCACCACCCAGGGGAGACTTGGTCCTGTACCCAATGCTTAACTTATCTCCATTCCACTCAGCTACTCGCAATTTCTTGTGATATAGTGGGCGGAATATTATTATATGAGACAATTCAATGCAGACGTCTTTCCAAATTTGGCAGATCGACAGGTAATCGGTGAGTTACCACGATAGTTGCTATTCAACAACTCAACAGCGTCCCATCGTCAACGCCTGCTATGAGAATTTCCCATTGCAGACGCCAACGAAATGATGTCATCGAGCTATCGATCAACTACCCTGGTTATCGCCTGGTACCTTATAGCACGATGCTAGGAGGCGAACCGGAAGAATCGATGAGCTACCTCTCCCCCCTGAATCATGAACTTTCAGAATATGCGTCAAACTTCTGCTCATGTTTACTCCTTTTGGAGAAAAGTGTTTTAACAAAATGGATTATCATAGCTTTCGTAAAACAGCATATCGCAATTTTCAACAAGCTTCAACATACGTGTCCTCTCATGCTCTTGAAGTCCTTCGAAGGCGGTTTTCAGAATAAAATCGAAATAAAAAAGTTAGAGCAGAAAACTGATTTTTTCAGAACCACCCTAATTTAATTTCGAAAAAAATAATGCCCAACCAATTGGTACTCGATTATGACGTCTGGGTTAGAGAAAACGTTTATTTCATGAACGCAAGTGACAAAATTATCACTTTATATGTGTATATTTACCAAAAGTTTTTTTTATGGAAAATTTGCAGAAGAATTTACTTCAGCAAATTTGTAGAGTTATTTCCTATTGATTGGTGTATTTGGATTTTAATTTCATATATAAATGACAAAATTATAAGCATTCAAAACCTAACACCTTTTCGTGTCGGTCGCAATTTTAGATTTTTAATTTACCCCTTGTATTTTCCCGTACGACGTAGTCTACGTCAAAAAAAAATCCCCATACGCATTGCATTTGCCAACCGGTTTGACCTATTAAATTAAAAAGCATTTTTCTTATCGATTACCATTTGCTAGGTGAAAAGTTAACATTATTCAGCTATCGAACGATGATTTAAATTCATTACTCTCTTGGCAACCCTTCCAGGGAGATCCCTACGACGATCGATCACGATCGGTACCGTTGTAAGGTACTCACTCTCCGTCTCCGTCTCTCTCTTCCACGTCTCAAACGCCAATTTTTTTTTATTTCTTCCACCATTCTCCTTGATGCAGTCAGTGGATGGTAGGCGGTTGACTAACTGACTTTTTTTCAGACACCCCAAGCCGACGGACTATCGACTAAACAAACTCATAAAATCACCCAGCGACTCTCAGCGACGAGGTGACTGACTATACCCCCCTTCAATCCAATTCAACCTGCTGCGTGGGGTGCACTCACTCTCTCACTCTCCCGCTCCGTTGTTTTGGGGTGGTTTTGTTTTCGGTGAGAGGCTCCCGCTCTTCGTCATCGCCCTGGTCCGGGAGGTGACTCACCGACAGACGGTCGTTGGTTGCCAGTTGAGCAATACGCGTGTGTCGAGAGTCCGTGAGTCCGTGTGCGCTGCTTCGTGTCCCCCTCATCATACATTATTGTGACGTCCGCCGACGTCGTCTCGATTCGCTGGACGGTTGGTGATCACCGATCGCCGTGCCTTATCACATCCCATTGCTTGACAATAGCTCGGCGGGAATCGTCCAGAAGCAGACGACGAAGAAGAAGTTTCCATCCCGAATTGTTGAGGCTGGTGTCTCTTCTATTGTGTGTGGATCGTCGTTTTTTTTTTTTTTAATGGGACGATCGTGTTTGTGTCGTTTGTTCGCGTTCGTTGGGGTTCCGTTCCGTTCCGGCTGGATCGGTTTTCATTCAAGCGCTTGTATGTAACGAACTTTGTGTTGTACATACCGAGGAGGAGGAGGAGGAGGAGTGCGCGTTCGTTTCGTAACGTTACGCTACGGTGATCACGAGCTGCTGCTGCAAAGTTTTCGGGTGTGCGTTACCTGATTGGATGTGTTCTGGTGTTGTTGCCGAGTGTGGGTTGTCCATCCAGGAACCGAAACGGACAGGTTGCAGTGATCAATCGGATAATTTCGGGACTCGACTGGCTGAAGCATTGCGGAGCCACGTTAATTGTAGCTGTAGTTTACGAGTTGAGTGCGCCGGGCTGCTGTGAAACAATTGCTTTCCGAATCGTAAATTGTTTTCCCCAAACAGCTGTGTGCATTGTTAAGTCGTGTGTAGCTACATGGTGAGAAAAAAATAAATAAACCGCAAGGTTATGGGCCCCTTTTCTCTGTTGGTTGTTAATGCCCCTTGGCTTGCACGGTGCTGTTTCGTTAGGCTGTTATTGATGTATTGTTATCGTTAATAGATAAAGGAGGAAAGATGAAGCAGACTTAACGCTACGGAAAGCAGTTAGGGAGATAACGCAAAATTCACTCCGTCTCCGGAGCCGTGAGCTTCTTCTGAGAGTGAGATGAGAAAATTAGATGATTGCCATTAATTAAATTAGTGATTGTGTGAAAATCGGGCCGCTCGTCCAATTTGAATTGTTCGTGAAGAGAGCAGCAGTGTGAGCAGGCAAAAAGTGCATTGGGAGGGAAGCAACTCGTAAAACCGTAAACGATCCGTCGGTGTTCGGAACGGGTAGGGTAGTGACGACGGTGAGGAGTTTCGCCGCCGTCGATGCATGGAGGAGCATCGTCGAGATCAATGGCCTGTATCGAAATCATCCTAGTCAAAGAAGATGCAATCTTCTGGTGGTGCTGAACTTCGACATGGACGACGGGGCAAAGTGATGACGATAATGAGCTGCTCATGAAGCGGAGGTTTACACACTAAATACATACTCTGGCGCACACACGCACGCTAATTGGGATGTTTTATTTTTGGTGAAGATTTCCGTTACGAGCTGAAAGCAAAAGCAGAAGAAAGTTGGCAAATTTTTTGTGCTGGTAATTGGTGTCGTGTACCTAGGGGCTAGTGTGTGTCGGAAGATCTGTGTGGAAGAGTTTCCGGGTGCGGCGAGCTAAGTGATTGTGATTTTTCTCGAAATAGAGTGCAGTGTTTGGGAAGCGATTTTTGGATAATTCACCGCAGCGGAAAAGATTTCATCGTTGGAGTTATCGAGACACGCCGAGGGGTCGGCAACTGCACGTGGATGTGATTTCTGAATGGTAAGCAAGCGAGTGGAGTGCATTTCACCTCTTTCCGGGCGGAGATAAGGGGCGGTTCGAGCGAGCCTCTGCCGAGCAAATGTTTGGATATCGTGCTTTTTTTTCCATTTACTTGTCATTGAAACGTTTCCTGTTTGACTGGATGGACTTGGGCGGGACTCTTCTCGCCGTCGGGCTTATCTCAGGGGAGATCACAGTCGTCTTCCTGTTCGATGGAGGAATTGATGTTTTGTTTTTTGCTATTATGCCTGACTGATGGAAGTGAGCTGATAATTGCTCTGGCTTGGATTGGAGGTGCATTCAATTCATAAAAAAATGTCATGACATTTTCTGTCCTAAAAACGTTCATTTTTTGGTGGTTCAGTTGGTGTTAATTTTCGGAAAATTCTTCAAAAGGAACCTGGTATTTGCTTCTTGCGTATAGTGACATCACCCAGAGCTGATAGTGGATCACTTTTTTAGTGACTTTGTCACCTTAAAGGTCACCAAAATGTCACTACCCGAGAGAATGAAAACAAAATAAGAACAAAATTTGATATTTTGATGTAAGCGTTCTTGATAACATGTTTTGACAACCGTGTGGTCACAGTTATCATAACAAAAATGAGATCTAAATGGTATATGAAGGATATTAAAAAGAAAACAAACCTAGCTTTCTTGATAACATATCGTATGTGATTTTTTTTAATCCATGCTTATTTGAAAGTTTAGAAAATTAAGCTTAAGAATTTGTCATGATTTCTGAGCAATGCAGATTTCAACTTTAGCAACTTAAGCGTTACTTTTCCAATTAGTTTATTATTAAATGAACCAATTTTAAATCAAAAATTATAATTGTTTAAGATTAATTAGATTGATTTTCGGTAATGTCATGTTCAAACTAGTAGTTGTAACGTGTTATGTTATATACATTGAGGTAACTAAGGAAAATCCTAGGGCGGAGCTAAACTTATTCGAATTTCTCAATTAGATAATTTGCGAACAATTTTGATCTGTAAGGACAATAGTAACAATTCTAGAGTAGGCTACATTAACCCTAGGGGTGCTGTAGCCCCCAATAGCCCCCTCCAATGTAGTTAGGTTATAAGCTATAAGTTGTTTATAAGATACCAGAACAATTGTGATACATTTTTAAGATTATTAGTGTTCTGTTCTTCAACATTGTGAAGAGAAACTGCTCTTTTGACTTGTTTAAAAAATATCAATATTTCATATTCAGAATTATCATGAAATACTCCTTAAACTTATCATTTTGAATTCCGTAGAAATTTTCCCAAGTATTAGTCTGGAATCCTACTTAAAATTTCTTTGCAACTACATATTTCAACAATTAAAGTCCCCTAAAATTCTTCTAATTTTTTTAACTCAATACTTAAGAGAGTCTTTTTAGAAATCCCATGGAATTTCCTTCTGAATTTTCTCAAAACTTTCCTGTGAGTTTCATTTAAATTGTGCTCCATTTTTTGGAACTGTCCTCAGCATATGATTCATATACATATGATATGATCCTTCTGATTTTTTCGGAATTCCTTTTAGTTCCTTTTACTTTGAACATCGCTTTTGAAAAAGGCGTATTTTTACTGAAAAGTGTTCATACATTGCCAACCACAAGAGATAGTGCTTAGAACGTACTGATTATGAGCAATCAATGTATGAAATTTTCAGGAGTCACTCTACATTATATATTAAAAACATACACATCTTGAACCATTAGAGGTATAAAATTGCTTCCTCCAGCAAAGTTGATTTAAATTAGTTGTTCTACAGCTTTGTCAAACATTGTGGTACTCTATCTCGAAGTGTAAAAGCTTAGAAGAAGAAGATGAAGAATCGATGATAACGAATCTCTTCGCACCATTACAAAGCATTACTGAAGTAACAATTTAGGTTTTATGAGGGTTCTGTAGACCATGATTTAGACTTGTAGAGTGCTTTAAAACCTCAATAAAACTTGTAATACTACTTGGGTAGGCAGTAGAAAGCCAGAATATGAATCTCCAACAGATAGCAGTAGTCAGGGTAATTTCCTGAGTTTTTTTTTTTGTTTAAAGAGAGTTCCATGATTTAGACCTGTAGAATGCATTAAAACCTCGATAAAACTTGCAATGTTACTTGTGCATTTCGCGCCAATTGATTTCAATGAAATTTTCTGGATGTGTAGATTTTGACTAAATAAACACTTTTGCATACTCACTTTTGAGCTTCACTGGTTTAGTTTTGTGTGAAAATGGGAAATTAAAATAAAAATCAGTTCAGACATGAAAAAGATTTTGTTAGAAAATTGTTGTTTCCTTAAAAGTGCCCATCTCGCGATGTATGGACGGTTTGTAGTATTAACATAATTACCTATCTTGAGACAGAGTTTAATTCAAATCAAATATGGCCTTTTTTTAAATCGACTTCAAATTTAAAAAAATCGATTTTTTTAATGTTCAATTTTTCAGTATTTTTTTTTTGGAAAACTTGGACGATTTCCTAAAAGTCATCCATACAACACATTTTTGTAGGAGTTGTCATTTTTCCATTATATTTTTTTTTGAAAAAAAAAATCGGCTTAAAAAGTATGGCCCTTCTCAAAGGTTAGCCTAGATAAATTTTGGAAAAAACTAAGTATATGCAAAGTGGCTTATTTAGTCAAGGTCCACACATCCAGAAAGTTTCATTGAAATCTGAGAGGGTGCTGCCAGCTCCGAATACGATTTGGCGCGAAACGCGTCATTTGCTACAGCCAGATTTTAAAAGAAAGGCAAAGACGCCATAGAGTTTCAGAAATTTCCCACCTGTTCATAGAACAGTCCTGAAGCTCCCGGAATTTTTCTTAAGTTCTCGGAACTACTCTGAAGTTCCCGTAATTTCCTCTTGACTTTCCTGAAATTCTCTTCTCAAAGTTTCCACAATTTCCCTGGTGAACAACATCCTTGAACTTCTATGGACTTCCCTAAAGATGCCTCAATTATCCTAATGGTAATGGGTCGTCTCTAAAGGACCAGAAATGATTCTGCAACTCTAGGATACTATCCCAAGTAACATGGCATGCTTTGTAGAGGTTTATAGCATTCTACAAGCCTAATTCATGGTCTACAGAACCATCATAAAACCTAAATTGTTACTTGGGATTTGAAGCTATAACAATTTCCCAGAAGTACCTGAAACTTTTTCATTAATATTATTATTTTCCTGAAGTTATAAGAACTACCCTAAGAATCTCTTAACTTTCTAGAAAAAACCTTGAACTTCTCTGAGATTCTCAAGACATTTCTGAACATTTCTTAACATCTCTGAAGATCTCTAGATTTCTGGAAAATTTGGGCACCTCTCATACATTTTCCGCAATTTTCCTCAATCACAGGTTCCTCCAAATCTCTTCTCAAAGTTTCCACAATTTTCCTGGAGAACTACATCCCTGAACATCTATGGACTTCCCTAAAGTTCCCTCAATTATCCTAATGGTCATGGATCTGAAGGACCCGAAATTATTCTGCAACTCTAGGATACTATTTGAAGCTTTAATAATTTCCCCGAAGTTCCTGAAACTTCTTCAAAAATGTTATTATTACCCTGAAGTTAATAGCTGTTGATCTTTCCCGGAGTAAATTCTTTCAATTTTACTATAGCTCTTAGTACTGGTACTGAACTTAATAGAACTATCCTAAGAATCCTTTAACTTCTTAGAAAATCGCTGAACTTTTCTGAAATTCTCAAGACATTCCTGAACATTTGTAAACATCTCTGAAGATCTCTAGAATTCTTGAACATTTGGGAATCTCTCATACATTTTCCGCAATTTTCCTCGAACAGAGGTTCTTCCCATTCTTGGAACAGCTCTGAAGCATATGGTACTTCATTTAATTTTTTTTCCTAATATTCTTGAAACTTTCCTGATGTTCTCTCCATAACGTTTTCTAAACTTCTTAATTCTTCTGAACATTCCTGAAACTTCTTAATGTCCCTGGAGTAATTTGGACTTTCCTGAAATTTCTGGAATTTTCTGAAAGTTCCCACCCTGTATGAAAAAATCATGTAAATTTCTGCGATACATAGCGCACACTGAACGCTAGATTTGGCGTAATTGTACGCGATATTTCGTGTTCATTTAGGCGCATAAATCTACAATCGTGTATACAAGCTTGTAAGAAATTTTGATGTTTATGCCAAATTTAGTTATAGCAAATTTTCTACCTTTGTTCGACTCTTATTCCTCTTCGATCCTTGTTTGGATCCTAGCCGAAGTAATCCTGCTTGGACATTGTCTTGGAAAATTCCTCTTCGATCTTTCGGATTCTTCTAGTAAGTCGATTTGGAGGAACGTTTTACTGCCGCCATAGCGCCTAAGCGCAAAAGAAAAGGGCAATCTCCTGATCCCCCTTCTGATGAAATTCAATTAAGCAATCAAAATGATCCATCATCCAGGCAAAATTCCAGTAAACTGTCCCGGCTTAACGCCAAGAAGGAAAAGGTCCCCCCGTATTGCGGTAACCATTTCCGATTAGCGATTTCGTTAAATTCAAGTTTTCACTAAAAAAAATGGCAGTCGGGGTGAATACCGTGTATTGAGAGATCACCTTAAATTCTCTAATATTCTTCGAAGTTCTTAGTAACATCTTAAACGTTCTCGCATTTTTTTTATTTATTGGAAGTCAATAGAACTGCCTTGTGATAGTAGATGATGATGATGATGATGATAGACTACCACCAATTGTAGCAAGGCGCCTGCACATAGCAGTGAACTGTTCCTACTGCATGACTTGATCGAGATTTTATTTCGTATCATACTCACCATACTCCTGTATGAAGAGCCAAAAACGGTGGGACGAACCCGTAAGCAGAGACACTTACGCGAAACCCGCGGGAGTGATAGAGAATCTCCTTCCAGAAGTAAGTTCATGTAACCAGAAACCAATTCAAGCGAGCGTGTGCAAGATCATCTCAATAGATGGGGAGAAGAGCCCGCCCTCTATCCACGAAAATTTATCAACAGGGAGTTGGCAATCCCACTCTCT